ATCTTCTTTCCCTGTCCTACCAAGCTCATGGTGATGTTGTTTGATTATGCACATTTATGGTCCTGAGCAGTTGTTTCCAAGGAATGTTACTCTCTTCCTGACATAAATGCAAATATACTTCGTTATTTATGGAAAATCCTACTTTACAGGCAAATTTTCCTATCTGTAGTAGTGTCGCTTTTTGAAGTTGTCTGAACAAAAAGATGGGAATGGGAAAACAATTTTCCTGTATACCTATAAGCTTCTAGGTGTTTTTTGAGAAAGGATTTCACCACTCTTAATGCAATGCCCTGATATCTGTTTTATATAAAAGTGGCAGGGTCAGAACATTACAGCTGACAGCATTGTCCTCCCATAGAGATTTATGTTTTGAAAAAATATATCCATGAATATAGTTGTCATCGGTGGCCAATACTTCTTTCTTATACCTAATTATAAATAAAATTAGAGGAAACAGAACTACAACATCAGCAGTGGACTAGTGGATTAACTAATAAGTTCTTTTAAAAGTTCAAGAATTTTCTTTAATTTAGTATCTTTATACTTTCACAGACTTGAGAGCCTGCTATTGGCAGTACTGCTATTACCCCCAAACAAGCTTTTTGTGTGTTCATTCTTATGAACAAACATATTGATTTGACATTCCTCTGGGAAAAAATGATGACTTAAAAAGGTTAATTTATGAGTCAGTTGCAGACACTAATCATGCAGCTATGAAAGGTTGCTTTTTAAGTTCTTTTTTAGAAGATGCTTGCAGAGATCATACAGGAAAAGATTTTAAAAATTATTTTGTAAGACTAACACATGGAAAAATCCAATTACTAAAATGTATATTTCTACCAAGGCAAAAAGGGGAGACTTTTAGATAACGGTCATAGAAGACTGTTGTTGCACTTGCCTTTGTCCCTGGCAGAGAACTGTGGGTGGGAGCTGTCACAGTGTCTCCTCCCTCACCCGACTTGGCCTTAGTGGCTTGGGAAGGAAGTGCTGTTCCCTGCCTCAGTGAGCTGAGCCCTCACAGTGTGGGAAAGAAGGATTTTTGAAGGTGCTGGTTCTCCTGGCTATCAGCACAACTCTTGCAGTAGCTTCAGTTTAACTTTGGCAAGTCCTTGTACATATGTATGGTCTAGAAATTTGTCTTCGGCTGTGAGTTTTTTCTAATGCATACTTTTTAATACTCTTGTGGCTTCAAAATGCAGCTCGCCTGTATGATCCAATACATTTTAAGTGTTGAAAAACAGAATGCAAATAAACAGACTTTATTTTGAAATTTTCTCTTTTATAGTGTTCTCGTATTTTGTTTGGATTAAGTGCTGGAAAGACACTTGAAAAATAAGTGCCTCACATAGGTACTTTGGCTATCTTACTTAGGTAATCAGTAAAAGATGAGAAAGCAGAAGCAGTGTGTGTGTCCTTCTAAAATCTGTGAATGTTTAAATTTCTGGAAATAATTGCACAGCAGTTGTACAGCAGTTGGTTGCTATGCCCACTGGTTTACAGTGGTTTGATGATTAGATCTATAAAAGATTAGTTTTCCATATAATACTTATGACATTACTTTCTTTACTGTGAGGGTAGTGAGACACTGGCACAGGTTGCCCAGGGAACTTGTGGATGCCCCCTCCCTGGCAGTGTTCAAGGCCAGGTCGGATGGGGCTTTGGGCAACCTGGTCTGGTGGGAGGTGTCCCTGCCCGTGGCAGGGGGTGAAATGGATGGGGCTTAAGGTCCCTTCCAACCCAAACCATTCTGTGATTCTACGGCTTGTAATGCACAGCTATTCTTTGTTGCAAAGCTTCGTAGCTTTTTTAACCTGTGTTCTATAAAGAGAAACTAATTCAAGGCAATGGTCTACATGCAGATGTAATCCAGTCTTGTATGGTAGTCAGTCCAATGCAGCTGGAAAATACGAGGAAGATGATCTTTAGGTCATCTCCTTTTTGCTTTCTGCTCCAGAGGCAGGTCTGCCGAGCATTTCTTGGGAATAAGCAAAAAGACAAGGCTATTCTAAAATCTTTTCACAGGGTTGTGAAGGTCTACATGAGTAATAAAGGACTCTGCTTCACATATAGAGTTGATGTACCTGGGGCAAGAGGAGGGAACCTGAGATCAAAACTCAGCATTGCTTTTCCCTGCTGCGTCAGGCCAAAATACCTTAAAAAGTTCAGTAGCTGCTTACACAAGCAGGTGAGCCTATAAGAAGAGCACACTCATATGGAACTCCCAAGTGAAGCCAGTGTAGATACAAATACAGTCCAAAGATAACTGAGTAGATTGTGAGGAAAAAACAACTTAAATTAAAATCATTCCAAGAATGACTTTGAGACCCAGTGTGGCAGTGGATTGAGGGGAACATAATGACCATGGAATGAGGATGTAGTTTTTCCAAATATACAGAAACATGAGCTCAGAGACATCATAATTTTGTTTTAAAAGTCTCCTCTTGCCCTGGTCCAATTATTTATAACAAATTCTCTCTCAGTGTCTGTCTTTTCCGTCACTTATGTTATCCTCACATTTACCAACTACACAAAACCAAAAAAGGCAGTACTGATCTACTTATTGGATATGATTTGTCAATTGAATATTGTGCTAACTTCCCAAGTATTACCTGATCACTAGAAATATATTTAGTTACTGCACATTCTGTTTAAATTTTGAAGATTACTTACATCTATATCTTCGTATTGTTTTATTAAAGTCATACTCACCCTATTCTGTTCATTAGAGCAAATACGCATAACGTATATTTCCTTGATTAAATTCAGAGTTAAGTATGTCAAGATTCTATCAAATCAGCATTATGCATCCTGTAGCTTGTCTTCAGTACCAAAAAAAGGTGGTGAATCCGGTAGAGTGGGCTGGACTGGGAAGAGTGAATTGAATTTCCTTTACATAAGGAAAAACTTTTTTACTGTAAGGGTGACAGAGCATGGCCCAGGCTGCCCAGAGAGGTTGTGGAGTCTCCTTCTCTGGAGACATTCAAAACCCGCCCGGACATGTTCCTGTGTGACCTGATCTAGGTGATCCTGCTCTGGCAGGAGCGTTGGACTGGATGATCTTTTGAGGTCCCTTCCAACTCCTAAGAGTCTGTGATTCTGTGAATGTCAGTGAGGAACTACCTTAATCCTCATGCAGATGCCAGAGCTGTGGTAAAGTTCCTTCCCATCCTACCAGGTCCATTCCAGTTTGCAGAGGTGGTGTCAGAGTCCAGTTCTCTCTGAACAGCTTCCTTTAGAGACTGCACATGTGGCAGGTTTCATGTTTGATACAACGTTTACTTATCTGAAGTTTTCCAAAGTTACTGTGAGGGAACATGGAGGACCAGGTGTTCCCAAGGGACCCATAGGCAATAACCTGACTGGCGTGACAGAGTCTTCACCAGCCAGGGCTCGTAGTGATGAGGCTGGTCCACAGGGTGGGATCAGGCCTTATGAAGGTGACCAGAGTCAGACATGGGATGACTCGATGAGGGCATGGGGACAGGCCAAGGCCAGGCCAGGATGTCAGCCCATGATGTGATTCAGCTATGTACTTAAATCCCAGCACAAGTGAAAATCACTCTTAGCAGAGTAAAGCAACTGAAATACAAAGTTGAATCACTTTACAAATGTGTTTCCGCTTGCCTGTCGCTGTAATATACTCATTGTCATGACACCGGGTGTTCCCAGCTGCTGAGAAGGAATATTTGAGTTTACACCAGTTCAAGCCTGTTGCTCCTCTCCAAGTTCTTTTTGTTTGTTGTTTAGTTTTCATGGGCCATGTATGCATACAGACCCCCAGAGCTGGTCTGGCTCACTCAGGAAGCATTTGCACTTTTTTTTAACTTGGGGACAAGCAGTTACAAAGCTGGTTGGTTCACTCTACTAATGCAGCCATTTATCTAGAACAGAAGTCACCCTCCATCCCCTTCATGCTAAGCTTAGCTTTCTTTGCAGTATCTGTGGTCAGTCATTCCATATGCTCTTCCCTGACCTGTCTTGGTACAGAGTTCTTGGTGAAGCTGAACTCCCATAGAGCTGGATAAGAAGTTTTATTTCTCTACTATAAAACAGAAGGATTTCTGTTTACAGAACACAGTATGTTTTTATTTATGAAACAGATTATTCTTCTTCTGTCATTCTGCATGTCTATGTTTCTCCCCTTACTTTCACCCTCACCTTACGAAGGTGACTTCATAACTGTTTCCATCCAAGGAGCTGGAAACCTTCATTGTTGTTGCTGCTATGTAACGTCCAATGCATATGATCATTTTGCCATAATCCGGAGATCAGACTTCAAAGTTAAACTAGTAGATAATTTCGTCACTGGAATTGCAAACCAGTGCAAACTGAAAATATAATTCCGTATCAGTGATATTAATTAGACATTGGAACAAATCGCCCTGAGGTGTGAGCCTCTTCCACCACCTAAAGCTTCCTGTCTTTCACAGGTATGAGTCAGAAATTGCTTGTTGAGTTCAGGCCATACTGCTCCTTTCTTCTCACAGGACTACTCGTGATTTTTTTGTAATTTCTGTCAGATGCCCCAGGCTCTGAGAATAGGTGTTGCTGCCACTTAACAGGTGGATCTGGCACAAGATTAAATTATGCCTTTAGAAATTGCTCTTGAGCAGAGTCCAAAAGAGGAGATGAAGAGTTCAAGTTTCACCTCTTTGCTTAAATCTCATAATATATGAAGTATATAAAAAAAAGTTTCAGTTTTAGATAACATTTTTGGTGTGCAATCTACAAATAGAAAATATGCTAAGACTCTGATCTCATTGGTTCTTTTTGAATGCTGCCATGGTGATGACTGGTGCATGCAGAACAAGGATTTGGAGAGTTGGTAAAGAAAGCTAGTGTTGCAAAGCAGAACTTACAGTTGATACTGTCTTACAGACTTTAATTAGTGTTATAAAACAAAAATATTAAAAATTTTAATTAAAAAAACATTATTTTACGCATAATTGAGGTGTTTTACAGGGAACAACTAGATTTTAATTATGTCTTTTGTTTTTAAGGCAGCAATGGAGAAGCCAATTAATCATCGATTGTTTGTGACAAGAATTTTGCAGGAATTTGAAAGTGACACATTTTTTCCAGAAATCAACTACAAAGACTACAAACTTCTCACAGAGTAAGTATCAAGATGCAGATGAGTATTTTGTTCACATGGAAGATGTAATAAACTTATTTGAATGTGTAAGGGTCCTACTAAGGCCTTGTTCTGTTTTGAGTTAAGAGGTGCCTTTTTTCGCCAGAGTTATATTTTACTCAAGACCTGGAATTGCACCACACTCAGCACAGGGAGGTTGTTGAAACTTTCCATGTTCTTCAACCTTCCCATAATCTTTACAGCAAAGAATTGCATTGGTCAGTTTGCTTGAAAAGTAGCTTTCTTATGGTTTCTCACTTTAAAATTACTCAAATATTTACTAAGCTTCATAATTCAGTATGTTGTTAGTCAATGGTATTCAGCCTCTGAATGTCTTTGATAAACTGCCAAAGACAAGTTAAATGCCTTTGAGCAGGGAGGTCTGAGCTTGTATAGATTTCTAAGGTTATTCTTTTCTCTTGAGAAAATTACTTTTTCCTAACAAACTTAGTAGGAACAAGTATTAGACTGTAAGTTTCTGGCATTCACTGTGACTTCTTCTATGTCATCCTTGTCATAATCCAGTCATACTTTTATGTCCTCTCCAGCTATATCACATCCAACAAGCAGTAGGGAGATGCCAGAAATTCAAATGTCTGCCTCAAGTACCAGGATGAAAAGGATTTCTTCCTCTTCTTGCTCCCATTTTGGTTCCCAGCTGGTTACAGACCAGTAGTGGAAGTAGCAGAAGTATGGAAAGTCAAGCTCTCTGCACGAGGCACAGGAATGCACTGAAATGAGAGAGAATAGGCAGAGACAGGAAAGAAGGATGCAGGAGAGACAAACAAGAGGAATTGGGAGGATAAGTCACCTTTTTCAATTCTTAACATTCTGAACTGCACTGTGCCCTATCATGAGCCCACTTTAGTATCCTGGTGTCTGATACAGTGCTCCCCTCTCTCCCTCTTGGCTGTTTCTCAGAGATACTGAAATCAGAATTTAACCTTAAAATGCAAATTTGTAAAATAGTAGGTAATTCCTTCACTAAGGTGGAAACCTGTTAAGAGTCAAACTAGTGAATAAAATTTAAAAGTTCTTTCTCCCTCAAACTCAACATCACTCATACAAAATCCTTATTCTGTCACAGGGAACTGAAGAGATTTTTGAAACTGTCTGTTAATAAAAACTCTCAGTAAATCTGGAATATAGAGGAACATTTTTTATGGTAGCACTCAGCTGCTTTAAGAAGCTGTCATAGGCTTGTAAGAAACCTTTACCTTCACATTTCCTCTATATCATCTGAGGAAAAGCAAAGCCAAAAAGAACCCCCAAAGTGTCCTGTATCTCTTTTACCTTGCAGACATGTTAAATAACGTGTTGGAGGCTTTAATAAAAATGTTGGGGTTTTTTGAATAAGCCAAAAAGGTGGCAGGTTTTTTGCATCAGACTATGCTTTCTTGATTTAAACAGATGTGCGTACAAGTCACCAATAGTAGTTAACATGATTCCTAAAAATAGTTTGTAGTTAGTATACCTGTTGTAAGGATGGCATTTTCTTCTCTTTTTTTCAAACAACTCTCTTTTCTAATTGACTGGATAGATTTCAGGTGAGTCACAGTTATATTTTTATTTATTTGTTGTCTTTTGCTTTTTCTTCTTCCCTCTCTCCAGGTACCCAGGTGTCCCTGCTGACATACAAGAAGAGAATGGCATCCAGTACAAATTTGAAGTGTATGAAAAAGCTGTCTTGGCACAATAAATGAGGCTTTCTGTACTTCTGTGTACAAGCAGGCATCTTAAATCGTGAAGTCTTACTGAGTGCAAATGTATATTAAATTACTGAGAGAAAATCCAGCTTGATAGTATAATACCTCAGTAGTGAATTATTCCAAAAAGCACACCCCACACTCTGAATATACAACCTGCAGTGAAAATACGAGGGTGATCAGCCATGTGAAAGAGGAAGCTCTAAGAAAAACTGCAACTAAGGTTGCATGAGACCTTGTATTGATCTTGGCAATCCGTGGCAGCATCCCTAACAATTCCATGAGTGGTGAAAGGCATTAGACTGCATCAGAATCCTTCTACCTAAATAAAGGTTTTGACTATCTCCTAACTCAAAGTGTCCAACATTGAGAAAGTGTCGAAACTCCTGAGTTTGGCTGGGATGGAATATACATTTATAACGATTCTTAAACAATACTGGTATAGAGGAAAAGGTAACCAAGGTTGAAAGCATAACAAGAGAAACTGAGTCTGGAAGTCTCAGGCAGAAATTGAGGGGTACATTGATCCTTCATGGACATCCTCTGTTGTCATCTTAAGTATCCTGGGTACTCAGCCTACTTCAAGCCTCTTGGCTGAGAACACTGACTTACGAATTAATCTGATAAAGAAGTTTTAATGTTTCCATTAGTTTCATGCCCATGTAAAGTCTTGCTGCTCTTATAAAAAGTTGCTACGTCAGTTTGACCATGGATGTTTTCCAGTATAAGAATATAAACATTGCTTTCTTAACAGAATCTGTGTTCTTAGATCTCTTCTAAATGTTATCAATCAGATGCAAAGTGTTAATTTGTCTGTGTGATTTTTGAATCGTCTGTGGCATACAAATAGGGACTATATGCGGATAGTGGTGTCTTGTGTCCTCTTTCTTTAAGTATAACTAGTATAATAATGTTTTGCATTACTGTTCCCTCGAAGTAGCAAGCAATATATTGGTACTATAGCAGCACTGTGTTTCCAGTGGCATACAATGCCAACTGTAGACCAAAGTTTGTTATTGCCAATATTATCACAACATTATCAGTATTATTAGTCTGTTGCTATGTTCTGCCTGTAGAGAGTTTGTCAGACAGCAGAGGACTCCATGTATGAAGTGTCACAGGGAGGAGCTGGGATGTACTGTGCCGGTCTGTGCTTTATTGTGCTGCAGCTGCCACCCTGAGAGTGATGACCTAAAAGGAGGGAGCCCGGCCTCCTTGCAGAGCAGTCTGAGACCAGAGAAGTGAAAAAAAAGGTTTGGTTTTTTTTTAAATAACCCTCAAAACTCTGCTCACTCT